CACGGCAACCTGCCCTGCGTAGAGAATAGATCGTCTCCAACGTCTGCCGTCAGACGGAACGAGCTTAGAATACTCCAAGCAGATCGTTATTTCGGTTCGGTTTTAACAAGGAAAAGGTAGACGAACGCCTCCGAACTCCCTATTGGTCACCATAACCATGCAATTAGAACGCCAATACATAAAGGAATTTGGAAGGAAGATTGGCTAAAGAATTACATGCAGCAAGCATGCAGCTGTCTGGCAAACACTAATATGTGCCAGTGTATGTGTGATGGGTCCAAATTAGGGATACATCTAAACGTATTTCCGAATTATCTCAAGTAGCATGGAAACGAACGCTTAAATTTCAGCCAGAACACATTTGATCACGTCATCTCGAGGGGTGTTTAACCAAACAATTATAAAATAATGTTACTGTAAAACAGTGAGTAACATGTTTGGTGACGTACAACCTTCGTGAAGGATGATACAAGGTGGGAGACGCGTTAGTTTCTGAAGGCGTAATGGTACGTACCCCTGTATTGGTTAAGCATCCTCTTAGCTGTGTTTACGGATGGGACATGACAACGTCCACAGGCAGAGCATTCTAGGCCTTAATCACTCTGTCGGGGAAGTAAAACGTTCCTGCGTCCAGTCTTGCCACAGTCACACGTAGTTTGAGAGAATGTCCTCTCAAGCTGGTAGGGGTGACAGCTCAAAGAACTTTCAGGATGTGAGGAAACAACCCTGACCTCTCAGCCTGTGGAACCCTTGTATTAGTCCTCCTTATAGCTGCCTATAGTCAAAAGGAAAAAGGTCAAGATTGGACAATCGAATGTTGTAAGGCGGGTATCCCGGTCCTCGTGCATGCTTGGTTGCCCGTCGTTTGACCTCTTCAGGGGTGCTGCGGTCATTTTCGATCCACGGTCATATCCCCAATTAGTATGACGCCAGTTCTGTGCGGAATAGAAGACAGACAGGATAGGAGAGAACAGCTTTACTGCGTCAGTCACCCTGTGTACATCAACTCTTAATCCTTCCGTCCGTGGCTTCGTATTTAAGGGTTCAGCCTTCGTCTGGTTTGCGTGTTCCTGCTGGTCCAGTCCTGAGCGCCCGCATGGGCAGGCGCTCGCGTGTTGCTGGCCCCTGGAGGTCGCGCATGACTCAGCGGCGTGCAACTGTCTGGCTCGCATGCGGGTTTCCTAGGCGAGGCTGTCCGGCGAGTTTGCGGTTCTTTGTCAGGCGTGACCCCCGGACGACTGGAACGGTGCGTCGTGTTCTGGGCGGTCCTAACACCTCCCGCTTTTAAAGAGTGGACCTCGTATGTTCGGAAATTTTGGGTGGATAATAAGTCTGTTCGGAGGGTGTCTAGTTCGAGAGGATCGCCTAGGGGCCTGGACCACATTTGGAGCCTCAACCTTCGGAGTCGGGATACTGAAAGTGTCACAAAGTAGGTCCAAGGCCAGTTGGTTGCCTTAACTGGTTTGCGTGTCTTCTCACACGTCCTCGACTTGTCTCAACTTCGTAAACTACCCCATGCGTCCTTTTGATTATACCCTCTATCCAGGGCTCCCTTCCTGGAACGTAATCCCGTACATATACCTCTTCTCCCTCTACGAAACAGGATCTTTGCGGCTGAACCTCTCGGACCACAGGTTTCAGATATTGCAGACGCACATCGGGTTTTTTGTCCAGAAATCTTTCTGCCGGAGTTGATCCACCTAGCTCCGTCTTCGGCGTCGTTCAATAGGCCAACAGAAATGTGTTAAGATGCTCCATCTTGACGCCTGAGTTTCACATCTTTCTCATTGCCCTTTTGAATGTGCCGACAAACCTTTCGGCCTGGCCATTGGATTGAGGATGGAAAGGCGGCGACCTAATGTGTTTGATCCCCCACTTTTGACACATCTGCTGAAATGTGCTCAAGATAAACTAGGTCCCATTATCTGCCACAATCTCTGTCGAGATTCCGTACCTCGAAATTAACTCCTCAGTTTTCCGCACTGTGTTTTCCGCCGTGATTACCGCTACATCGAAAACATCTGGTCATTTCGACCACGCGTCAACCAAGATGAGAAACATCTTGTTGCAAAATGGACCCGCGTAGCCCAGGTGGATCCTACTCCAGGGTTTCGTGGCTTCCGGCCACGACACTGGTGGGATTTTCGGAGGGTTCTTTGCGAAACGTCCGCACGGGCTACAACTATGGACAGAAGTTCCAATAATTTCGTCAATTCCGGGCCAGTAAACGTACTTTCTTGCTAACTGTTTCATCCGCGTTATACCCGGATGTCCAGCATGTAGCTCCCGCAATACTTTTGCCCTGTATTTATCCGGCACAATCACTCGGCCATCGTACATTAAGCAGTCCTGCACAATGTACAACTGATCCTTTCGATTCTTAAAAGCCTTAATACATGCGTGCGTTCTGTCTTCATCGGACCAGCCACACAGTATGAATTCCTTAACCTGACGTAGTAGCGGGTCGTCCATTGTTGCAACTCTGATGTGCTCGGCTGTGATGGGAACCTGTCGAATAACTTCCCTAAGTTCTGCGTCATCTTCGGCCAGAGTTTGTGCTACCACTACCTCTTCTCGACTTTCTTTGTCTTCGCTTAACCTCGACAACGCGTCTGGGGTTCCAAATTTCTGCGTAGGTATGTACTGAATAGTGAAATCCTAGTTCAAGAGGATTGTTGCCCATCGCTGAATCCATTTCGCTGCAGTCTGCGGTATGCCAGCGTTCGTCCCCAGAAGAAACTTTAAAGGCTGATGATCAGTGTGTAAAGTGAAATGTCTGCCATATATAAACTGATGAAATCTTTGGACAGCAAAGATTATAGCCAAAGCCTCTTTTTCTATCTGACTGTAATTTCTTTCTGCTTTCGTCAGTGACCGCAGCATGCATCAGAGGCTGAACTTTTCCGTGCACATTCTTTTGAAACAAAACTGCGCCCAGTCCATAGTCAGAGGCATCGGCCTGGACGATCGTTTCATTGCTCAACTCGAAATAGGAGAGCATTGTCGAATGATTTATCTTAGCCTTCATCGTCATAAAAGCTGCTTGGCACTCCTCTGACCAGACGAATGGGGTATCCCTGCACAAAAGTTGATTTAAAGGTCCCTTCAAACTGTGAAGTCCCTCTATGAACGACCCGTAGTAACTGACAAGACCCATGAAGGATTGTAATTCCTTTACATTCTGTGGGGTTTTTATGCTCTGAAATGCCAGCACTCTCTCGGGGTCCGGTGCTCTTCCGTCTGCATTTATTAAAAATCAGAGATAGTGAATTCCTTTCCGCAAAAATTCGCTTTTTTGCATGTTAATTTTAAATCCATAATTGACGAGATTCTCCATGACTTTGTCCAGCCTTTCTAGTAATTCCTCCTCCGAGCGACCAACTACTAGAATGTCATCTAAGTACGCAACCGCTCCCTGCGTATCCGTAAGCATTGTATCCATAACCTGCTGGAAAATGCTTGGAACCGCTTTAATGCCGTAATTTAGCCGCGTAAACTTGAATAAACCTTTTGGAGTTTTGATCGTCAGTAGCTCCTGCGATTCCTCCTCCACTTCTATCTGTAAATAAGCTTCTGAAAGATCAATTCGTGCAAATGACTTTCCACCATTTAACTTGGCAAAAATTTCCTCCACCGTCGGTAGGGGATGGTGGTAATCCTCCAAAACATCGTTTAATCCCGTCGAATAGTCAGCACACAGTCTCAAGTTCCCATTTGGCTTCCTAACCGCTACAATTGGGGCAGCCCATGCGGTGTAATTGGTGGGGTAGATGATACCCTTCTCTTGTAAACGTTCCAACTCTTTCTCCGCGTCTTCCTGGATTGCAAACGGAACTCGACGACATTGCCTGAAAAATGGTTTCTTGTTTGGTTTGGTGCGTAAAACTGCTTTCGACTGACTGACTTTTCCATCATTTTCGCATACTTCTCCCGCAGATTCTGTTCCGTTTCTTGTACTGCGCAACAGATTCTGTCAAATGGCTGACTCCATAACTCGGAGATTGCCTTATTTCCCAGGTCGATCGGACACTCCGATATGAAGACGTCTGCTAAACAATTTTTATCCCCAAATCCGATACTAGTTGAAAAACATCCCCTGAATTTTATTTCCGTGCCGTTCGATGTCCTTGCAGTGACGGGAGTTGGGATAAGACTGGGTGCTCCTATCATTTGCCATGCTTCTACCGCTATAATCGTCAGATCAGACGCTGTGTCCACTTAAAGCCTGACCGCTTTCTCATTTATACTCACGGTTAGCTATTTTCGGTGTTCACAGCCTAGCACCCGTGCCTAACCATCAGAAACGACGTTGCACTGTTTACTGGGACTTGGCCGTCCTGCTCGGCAGTATGTCGATTTGTGGCCAAATCTCGAACATTTGAAACACTTCTGCGTTTTATAGGGACAGTCGACGACATAGTGCCCTCCACCGCACTGCCAACAGGCAGTCTTTGGTCTTCTGGGAAATGTTTCTCTCTGTGGCGGCCAGTTTTTCCTAATGTCCAACACCTGTAGTTGTTGACTGTTTGTTTCGCCAATCAACCGTGTATCCTGTTTAATGTTCCTGAGTCTAAAACATTCACCTGCTAACTTCTGTACAGTCGTGTCACCATCCTCATCCAGTCTGGACAGCAGCCGCGTGTGTATGTCCGCGTCCTCCGGTAGAGTAAGTGATTTTATGAACAATTGGGCCATAACCTGGCTTGCTGTTGCTTGCTCTAGATCAGCCTGTTTGTACATATCATTTAGTCTGCCTGCCAAATCAAAATAGTCTTCGTCTACCCTCTTCTCCAATTTAAAACATTCAAAGCGTCTGTTAAACAATGACTTTGAATGGGTGAATAAGGCTTTCAGGTTTCTTACCGTCTCCATGAATTCGATTTCGGCCGGTTTCTTCGGTATGACGAATTTGACATACTTCTCGTGTTCCATTCGTCCAAGTTTCAGCAACAGAATTTCCACTTCTCCGTCAGCAAGACTTTTCCCCTCTCTTTCGAACATTAATTCATATTTTCTGAACCAGATATCGAACGTACTGGTTCGCCAGTCGCTGTGCGATGCATTCGCAAGTGGCCGACCAGGTCGATGCGTAAGGAGAATGTGCGGGGACAGTGTGAACATGAGATGTCGGCGGTGTCAGTATCAGCTTCAGTGATGGAGATGATGGAGCTGATATTGGTGGGCGCTCTGAGAGGCGCAGCGTTAGTGGGGCTAAGCATTATGGGTGTGCTGGATGTGTCTAGACTGCGGCCAATTCCGGTCTCATGGACACGCATCTGGCCGAATAGGCCCATGCGGTACATGAATGTGCGAGGGCAGTGTGAGCAGTGTAGACGGATGCAGCGAGTGTAGGTTGGTGCTCCAGGCACTGGTTCGTCAGTCTCTGTGCGGGAGATTCGCAAGTGACTGACCAGACCAATGTGTGAAGTGAAGGTGCGATCCCAGTGCGTGCAGTCATAGATTAGGTCCTCATCATTGGCATTGACGATGATGGCGTTGGTGTTTCTTGGTACTTCAGAATTGTGTATAGTGCGGCGGGCATAACAGACGACACAGCGGGAGACGTCATGGCGATAGAGATGGAGGAGGAGGAGGAGGAGGAGGAGGAGGAGGAGGAGGAGTAGAGAAAGAGAGGGGGGACGGCAGTGGTGGTCCGGGAAGGCTGTCAAATTAAGCCGACGGCGTGGGACGCGAGGGAGAGGTGGACATAGAGACGGCGGTTTGTGCAGTCCGGATGTTGCGGTTGGTCCGGAGGCGTCCAACAAGTCCATGTGGTTCCCGAAATGTCCGTTGACATCGTGGGCACGATGAAGGCGGTTGGGCGTTGGCGTTGTGAGGCGGCGGCACTTGAGATTTTCGCGTCTCGCACTTGGCTTTGGCGGTGATGATGCGGTTGGCTCCGAAGATTGTTACGCCTGTCTTCACTGTTCTTATCCATGTAAGTCGGTCCCGGGCGAGGTCTTCTCAGTTGGCCGGGTTGATCTACAGGTCCTTCAGGGAGGGTCTCAGAGTATCCTTGTAGGGTCGGACTTGACCTCCTTGTCGGCGTGGACTCGTCGCGATATCTCCATAGGAGAGTCGTCTGGGTAGCCTTTCTTCGTCCATTCACACGAGATGGCGCTCCGGCGTAGTTGTAGTTGCCTCAGCATGGCGTAGTTGCTGATGATTCCTGACCGCTCCAGTCTGTCCGTGCCTGGAATTCGGTCCTGCCACCTCGACTTCAGTATTCGAAGAAGACAGTTGAGGTGGGAGTGGCTGAGTCTGCGTGCCTGCCTAATGCAGACCGTCTAAGTCTCTGCTCCATACAGCAAAGTCGGGCAAGATCTTATTTCGCAGCCGTACCTGTTAGGGGCTAGGGTTAGGAGTTATCGTTAGGGGTTCAGGTTAGGGGTTACAGTCAGGTGTTAGGGATTGGGGTTAAGGGTTACGGGTTGGGGTTAGGAGTCAGGGGTTAAGATTAGGGGCCGAGGTTAGGCGTTGGGATGCGACTTGTCTACTGTCGGTACAGTTACGAAATAAGATCTGACCCAAAGTCGGTAGGATTACGGCCTTGCACAACTTCATTTTCGTGCTGATTTAAAGAACGTGACGATTCCAAACTGTGCTTTGAAGACGACCGATGCTTGACAAACCTTAGAAATCCGACGGGCCACTTCATCGTCGATCTTTTTGTTGCAGAAGCAGGTGCTGTCCACATACGTGAAGTTGTCTACGAAATGAAGTTGGGCGCCGTTCACGTTGATTTGGGCGCGGTATAGTCAGCATAGGGTGGCAGTTAATGCATGAACACCATCTTCTTCGAGCTTATGATCAAGCCAAAGTTCTCGCAGGCGGCGGAGAAGAGATCCATGCTCTTTTGCATGTCTCCTTCAGTAGCCGCACTGAGGACGCGGTCATCGGCAGACCTAAGTTCGTGGACGGTGGTTATGGATACACGCGACTGGAAGTGCATCCGTCACTGATTGAGGAGTTGGCCGTCCGTCCTGTCGGCGATGCGGATTCCGGGACGTTCGCCACGGTAGGCGTCCATCAGCATATCAGAGAACATGAGACTAAATAGGGTAGGCATGAGGATGCAGCCCTGCTTCACTCCGTTGGTCACTGCGAATGCCTCTGCGACAATTCCATTTTCTGCCATCGTGGAGCTGAATTACCGTCTGAGTGAATCGCTCGAGACAGCCGAATTTCTGTATGATTTTCTACAGTTCTTCGCGATTCACCTTGTCAAAGGCTTTCTTCAGATCCACGAAGGTAGAGTAGAGGTGGGTCCGCATCTCCTGGCACTTTTCCTGAAGTTGGCGGCCGGCGAAGATCATGCCAGTGGTCACACGACGACGGCGGAAGCCGCATTGGCTTTCCGACAGGAGATCTTGTTCCAGATGGTGGTTGAGGCGGTTAAGAAGAGTACGGACGAAGATTTTTTCGGCGACGTTCAGCAAGAAGATGCCTCCATGGTTGTCTTAGAGCTGACGGTTACCTTTCCGATTATAGAGATGGACGATTATGGTGTCCTTGAAATACTGCGGGACTTCTCCTTGACGTCACATCTCCTGGAAGAGCGCCGTCAGATGATCCACAAGTTGGGGGCCGCCATGCTTGCTGATCGAAGCAGGGATCGCGTCCGATCCGGACGCTTTCCCGCTGGAGAGCTGTTGCACAGCCTTGATTTCGCGGAGAGAGGGCGGGAGGCCGAGGTTGACGTTGGTCTCTGCAGCGTATCCTGCCCGGGCCGTCAGGACATCATGCCACAAACGCCTGACAAGCGAACGATCAAGGTCATGGCCCCCTGTTCACACCGTCTTTGTGCTGATTGGCCACCCATCAGCCTATGACAGTTCCCCTTGCCATATACCCGGCCGTTTCCACAAGCCTCCTCACTTGTGCTGTCTATCGTACTCAGTTCACGTCCTATTTCCAATTAGCCTTCTGTTTTGCATACATAACATTGGCGACGCAGCCTAACGAACATGTCTTCATTGCTGCCTACACCGCTACCTTTTTGGCCAAAGAACACCCCGAAGCCCTCAAATGACTCGTGGTTGCAATGGAGGAAGACATTTGAGGATTATATCGAACTACTCCCGATTTTGTCACCCACGATTGTACTAGACGTCCCATCTAAGTTGAAACTCCTCCGGACGAATCTCGGAGAGTTGGGACAACGATATTTCGATGCCCTCAATCTACAAAAGGCTATAGATCTCCAAACAGCCTTCTCAAAACTCGAGTCAGCGTGGGGAGGAAAAGACAACGTCTTTCTGAGTCGCTATCGGTTTTGTCAAATGCGTCAAGAATCCAATCAATGTGTCAGTGATTTTATTACTAATCTGACTCTGGCCATTCAGGACTGTGGGTATAAAGAGATCAAGGCAGACAACTTCGAGCACGCAATGCTCGTTCAGCAGTTGATCGTCGGTCTACGCGATGAAAAAGCTCGGGAAAATCTCTTATCAGAGAAGAAGGATTTGTCATGGGATAAAGCCTGTGATATTGCCAGTCATCAGGAGCGCGTGCGGCAAAACCTTCGGCAGCTGAATCAGTCAAACGATGGGGTGATAGCATCCTTGGAATCGGAAATGGCTGTCTCCCTGGTCAACACTGCTGTGTCTTCACCTAGACAGCGACCCTCAGCTCCCTCAAAACAACTACCATCATGCTACCGTTGTGGCCAGCATCATATCCGGTGGTCAGACTGTAGACACCAGAAGACGGTATGCCAGTTTTGCAAGAAAGTCGGCCACATCGAACGAGTGTGTTTCTCCAAAAGACGTTCGAATAGTAACACGCATGCGACCTACCCTAGTCCAGCTGGAGATGGTGAGGCGATACTCCGAATGTTTCCGGCCAACGCTACTCTCCAATCCCCCTACACCATCACGCTTCCGGTTGATCACCATCCCGTGAAGTTTGAAATCGACACTGGCTCAGCTGTTACTCTCATCAATGAGGCCTCTCTTCAGAAAGTACCCTCCCCCCTACCGGCTAGCTCAACATTCCGTAGTTACACTGGACAGAACGTAGACGTTCGAGGGGTCTTTACAGCCGAAGTCGAACATGATGGAGAACTTCATTACTTGCCGGTTCATGTGGTGAGAGGAAGCCAGCAACCGAATCTCCTTGGACGAAATTGGATTAGATGTGTGCCTTCTGTGCTATCCAATGTACATCGGATTGGTGTAAATCCGGCTTTAGATTCAATTTTGGTAAATCATAAGGATCTATTTCGTGACGATTCAGCTACCGACTACCGCGGTCCACCTGTTAAGTTTCAGTTTCAGTCAGATTTCCGGCCCCGGTTCTTACAAGCTCGTACAGCCCCCTATGCACTCGCACCGAAGGTCGAAGAAGAGCTGGATCGCCTACAGAAAGCGGATATTATTGAGCCCGTGCAATATTCGGAATGTGCAGCTCCAATAGTTCCTGTTCTTAAAACCGATGGTTCTGTGCGTATCTGTGGCGACTACAAGCTGACAATCAACTCAGCAACTAAACTGAACCCTTATCCTCTCCCGCGCATCGAGGATCTGTACGCATCTCTTTCAGGTGGTCATCAATTTACAACTTTGGACCTAAAGCATGCCTACAACCAAGTCGTTCTAGATACTAAACCCCGAGACGTCACCACCATCAATACGCATCGGGGCTTATTTCGATATAAAAGACTATCATTTGGAGTAAGTTCGGCTCCCGGTTTATTTCAATGCTTGATAGATAATCTCGTGAAGGATATACCTCACGTTTGCGCATATCTTGACGATATATTAGTTACCGGCCCATCTGAACATAGTCATCTAGAGACTCTAAACATCGTGTTAGGACGTTTAGAGGACGCCGGTTTTAAACTCAGGAAAGATAAGTGCACTTTCCTTGCCGACTGGGTAGAATACCTGGGCTTCAGGGTGGATAAAACTGGCCTCCATCCACTCGAACATAAGCTCAAAGCCTTGAAGACGGCGCCGCGCCCCAACAATACTAGTCAATTGCGTTCGTTCCTGGGGTTGGTCACCCACTTTAGTCGCTTTATGAATCAATCGGCTACAATTCTCAAGCCTCTTTATCGACTACTTGAAAAGAATTGTGGCTGGCACTGGTCGGAGGTCGAACAAAGTGCTTTCGAACAGGCAAAGACGGCTCTTACCCCCTCATCTGTCCTAGTTCACTATGACCCCGAAAAGCCTATCATACTGAAATGTGATGCGTCTCCGTACGGCGTAGGTGCGGTTCTCATGCATCGAATGCCTTCGGGTTCGGAGATGCCGATTGCTTTTGCATCAAGAACCATGTCACAGGCGGAAACCAACTACTCGCAACCAGACAAAGAGGCCTTAGCAATAATGTTTGGCCTACATCGATTCCACCTGTATCTTTTTGGCCGACACTTTGAAATTCACACTGATCACAAACCCCTCTTAGGTTTGCTGGGAGAAAAACGAGGGATACAACAGATGTCCTCGCCGAGAATGCAACGATGGGCACTCACTTTGTCTGCTTACACGTATACAATGAAGTACATTACAGGCAGTGCAAACGTAGTGACTGGCGCCTTGAGTAGGCTGCCTATCGTTGACGATGGCATTAACGGGGCACCTGTTTTTGAGACCGTGAATCTTTTGCAGAATCTAGTCAACGCGCCTGTAACCTGTCAACAAATTCGACAGTGGACATCGAGACACCCTCTCCTAAGTCGGGTAAAAAGAGCCTTACAATCTGGCTGGCCGTCCCCTACCTCCTCTGATTTTCAACCATTCTTCAGCCGTCAGAACGAGTTAAGTCTACAAGACGGATGCATACTATGGGGCAATCGTGTAGTTGTGCCACCACAAGGCCGACGGGCCATCCTCAGAGATCTGCATAATGCTCATCCTGGTACAGTTAGAATGAAAGCTCTCGCCCGCAGCTATGTTTGGTGGCCCAAAATTGACGCAGATATAGAAAACGTGGTGAAAGCATGTCACGTGTGCCAAATAACACAGAAGACCTTACCGAAGGTTCCTCTGAAGCCTTGGGCCTGGCCCGACTCGCCGTGGAAGAGGGTACACGTCGATTATTTTGGGCCATTCCAAGGCCATATGGTTTTGGTGATAGTTGACGCCCACACTAAATGGATTGATGCGATTCCGACAGGAAATTCTTGTTCCTCACTGACTACAATCAACAAGTTGCGAACCGTCTTTTCTACTTTTGGGATACCTGAAATGGTCGTTTCAGACAATGGCCCGGCCTTTACTAGTGCAGAATTTAAAGATTTCATGGAGAAAAATGGAATTAGACATTTAACTACTGCCCCGTACCACGCTGCTTCAAATGGCCTCGCAGAGCGTGCAGTCCAGACAATAAAGCACGGACTAGCCAGACAGACAGCGTCGGGACTGGTCATCGGGGAGCGTAGATGCTGATGAAAGTGGCGTATTTGCCTCCCCCGAGAGACGGATGGGGGCTCATCAGGCGAGCGTTGCTGCCCAGCAGCAGATGGGGCAGTCGTCCCACGATGTCATTCCGGATGGCGAAGGCGACACACGCGTCTCGTCGCTCTGCCCTGGGCCGACGACTCCAGAAGAAGGTGTAGCCGGTACTAACCTCCTCCAGTTGGCCTTGTTCTGAGAAGCGGGTCTCGCTGAGTGCAGCGATGCCCATCTTGTAACGAGCCAGTTCCCGAGCCACTAGCGCCACCCTCCGTTCCGGTCGGTTGCTCCTAGGATTGCCTATGAAGGAACGAATATTTTAAGCCGCCAGAGTGAGTTGACCAACCCTACCAGCCTGCGGGATGGGACGGTGTTGTTTTTGATTCGGCTGTTTCGACCGTGATTTTATTTACGTTACCTACCTCATACTCACTCATTTGGGATTTAAGCCGACCACTTATTACCTCTATGAAATCCTGGTCCATCCTTCGTGGACCAGGCGTGTGTGGCGTGCATGGACAGGCAACTTATCTCTGTCAGCCACCACGCCCGATCCTGCTTCCGGCCGTTCTGACTTAGCCTTTCCACCAAACCGAGAGGGGGGAGGGGGAAGGGAAGAAAGAGTGCGGCAGATGCAGTGTAGGTCTGTCATTGATGTAATGCAATGCACGCGCAAGTCACTATCCATGAATTCATCCCACTGTAGGAGCACACGGATGAAGTCGTCGTTCTCAGTGGTCTGACAGACGTAAGACAATGCATACTTTGTGGAATCTTAGCGTTCACTGTAAACGATCCTTTCAATGTATTGCAGTTTTTGCATGTTCATGTTAATGAATATCTTATGTTGTAACATCTCACAGCTCCTATATACGTGGACGCAAAAAATGGATGGATCAAGCGTCAAAATTCATGACTAGTTGACTATGCGTCTGTATAGCTCGCAGGTGTTAGGCGATGCGTGTATCGTAGAAAAATATCATCCCGCCCGCACTAGGGTCTCTTCCCTGAAATTTTACTTGGTTGTGTTTTCGACGAGCATTCGCCTTCTGAAGGTGGAACACGCCTTCATCGCCGATGTGTATGTGAAGTCTTTTTAAACTTGAGTTCACCCAGTGCCTGTGAGCCTCATTTATGAGATGTGCCATTGTCGTTGAGGGGAACTAATTGGCTCACGGACCATTCAAAATGGCTACAACTGAGTATTTTTCACTGCGCAGAGGCGTTATCGTTCAACATGTACAACGGGTGCATACGGAAACGGCTACCCGCAAGCGAAGACGTAGCACAGGTCAGCTAACGCATTTTAATGAACCATCCTGAACCATGAGCCCACCGCTTTTGTCTGGTATTGCGGTTAGGCAGACACTTTTGACAGGTGGCCACAGCTGCAATCGTCGGCTGCAGCTAAAGAACACCATCCTCTCCAACTTTAAGGAAGAAAGTGGAACAGGCGTCTACTTCGTAGTTTGTTGCCCCAGAGCTTGCAAATTCAGGGATGAGTGCAGAGGCAGGAAATGGATGTAAACCGCCTATGAGGGTTGCTCAGGGTCGGGGGGGAGTATCGGGAGTCAAAAATAAATAGACATGCGCAGCTCACACACGCCTAAAGCGAAAAATGGAAGGTGACATGATAGAAGCTAAATAAAGGATGCCTTGCAAACAAGCAATGGTGGCATAGGAATCACCCGACCAATAGCAACGCTCCACCCTTGTATAAATGCAAGTCGCCGCGCAATAATTCGCACTGATATCTTATCCTTATTCAGCAGGGAGTAAATGATTGCAGAGCGAATACTTGGCAAATACTGGGTGCTAACCAACAGACCACATTTCCGACGCACTGTCCTTCAAGTCATCACAGTCATAATTTACAAAATTATTAGTTTAGCACATACGTGCATCAGTATATCAGTGACGCACTGACACCTCGGACATAAAATGGACGTCGCCTACTGGATATGCCCTACTAGTTTCCCACCGAGAGACGCCATCTTCGTCTTCACCGCCGTCGTGAGTTCTGCAAGTCTGGTCCTGAATCTCGGCATACTGATAACGCTCTGTTTTTTAACAGGCAGAACAAGGAGTTATTTGATTCAAATGCGAGCTCTGTCTGCATCTACTGTGATCTGTAGTTCCATCGGTTTCCTCAATCACGTCATCCCCTACGAATTCTTGCCACAGAGCCCTATCTTTGGTCGGATTGTGTGCCATCTCTGGAGTAGCCGCTATATCTTCGACGTCTCCTACATATTTAGCGCTCTGATCCTGAACTTCTTGGTGGGAAACAGGGCAATTCAGATTACCCACGGATACCAGTACTCCTTCTCCCCTTCTCTTTTCTCCGATCTCACTTATTTACTGATTTTAGGTCTCAGTAGTGTCCTCAGTATTCTGTGCCAGGCATTTGTGGTGGGATGGAATGGCATGTATTGCATGTGCCTTGAAAAGGACATTGCCTACTGGGCCCTCGTCGCTGCTTACATGGGGACATTTGTACGCTTCGGTCTGGCCGTAGTCATCAGTCCCATTATCTTGGGCATCTCCTGTTACAAGATTGTCCAGTGGGTGCGAAACACACCAGCAGGGGAACTTTTGGACACCTGGAATGGTCTGGTTCTTCCTGGGACTTCAGCGGAGCAGATGGTGGAACTACTTCGACCGCGTGGTTGGATGACAGCATCCATGTGCACTGTACCCCTATCACTTAACTTTCTAGCATTCAGCCTCTACAACACGACGTATCAGTTTAGCTGTGCAATAGGGTTGTGCACGTTGGTAATCAATAGTGTGTCGGATAGGGTTGGCACTCTGCTTCTTTACCATCAATTGCTCCTCTTCCCAGTCATCATCGCTGTCTACATTCCAGCGCTGAGGGCGCCATGCATGCGAGTCTGGAAGCGACTCATCTCCAAGCTAGCTGAGGATGTATCAAAAATGACTCAAACTGAGATAAGCGATCAACACATGCCCGACGCAACGAGTGCTGATAGAGAATGCACTGTGCCATGACAAATGTACCGCCTACCCCAGTGAATGCCCACGTTTATTTGCAGTCATCATAGTTTCAAGATTACAGATGCACTTCCCCAGGAAATTGCCTCCCATATTTGCACAATCCGATCGCCTACCCTGACACTATGGCCCTTACTGCCACCAATATTTATACTGAAACGACACTATGTATCCTTGTAGCAAAAATCTAAATGTTTGCAACCAAAATTCCCCACAAGTCTATCCAACTTGGGCTTCTTCTGTTGCAGGACCGAACGGCTAGTTTATGGCCATTTCTTGATTGTAACAAGCAGACCTCCACCAGCTCAAGCCTCGTTCGATTGCGTCTGGGTAGTTTTGTTGAAAATGTTCTATGGTGTTTCTCTGCAATTTCTACGCAACTCTGCCGGTCTGTGTTAATTGACACTTGGCGCACCCCTGTGGTCATGTGTCCACGTACATATATCAGAGTTGTAGGCTGTCACCACGTAAGACTGTCCGCTAACTTTTATGAGTGAAGCTTGCACTATGCATGCTATTTAGTTAAAACTGTTGACTACAGCGTCCTTGAGAATGTTATGAGTCTACGCAGTTTGCATCGCCTGAAGCATGTGCCCCCCAAAGAGACGCATTCAGATCCCAGTAAGTACTTTGGAAAGACTTTGTGCCAATTTCTTTTCCGCAGGGGATATACAATTTTAAATGATTTTGATGAAGTCCAGAAGCGCTGAGAGACGTCAATGCAGGCAAAGACCGCCTTGCTTTGCTTAATTTCCGAGTAAATTGATGCCCGAACTTGGAATAAATCCTATGGAACAGACCTCCTCGGGCTCGATTCGAGAGTTGCTATGAATGTTTGAGCTGAAATCCACCAGCTGCTGCGGAGTAACCGCGTAATATTATAAGCTGCCAACAGGTAGTATAAAACTGTGTAACTATCCCCCATAATGACATAACAGGTATTAAACCTTTTTATTACACCGGCCAGGAAGGTATGTATTCAATCTCGTTGCCTACGGCAGAACAACTAACTTTACAGGCGCGCGTCGTTGAATAGTGCTCGCACTGTTTATAGGGGCGACCAAAACGGAGTAGCAGATACCAACATAATTAACAGCACTTGGGACAAAGTTTTTATCTTTAACAACTGGGAACAGAGCGTCCATTTCATCACCATGTCAAGCATGACTACTTGTACAGAACTCATTTCCTGGTCAGCACGTCTTTACATAGCAACTGCATCCTATAATGCTGTATCATCTGGGCCTCATTAACTTCATCCGTCACTGCTTCTGGGGGGTTGAGTCCGATGCACTAGGTGACGAAAATTCCTTTTTCAGCAGATAGGACCACTTCTTCCCCGTCAGGGCTGGTCATATGCAAGCCATTACTGCTTTTATGGCAGACGGATTTTAGTTTTCTTCCTAGTACTCGAGCCCATCATTAGATATCTCTAAAATAATAGTACGACGCCTGCTAAATGACAGGAGAAACGCCTGCATTGACTGGTGTTCGCTCAATAGCGGGTAGATTTAGTCGTCCGCTCTAAAGTGTCATACATAACCCTTCACTCCTCCGCAGCGGCAGATTTTCATGGAGTAAAACCTCCACACAGCGCTCTATTATGGGAGATTAATTTACGAGTTTCGTGTCGGTATGTAGTGAGAGGTAATCGATATAAAAATAGGACGCGATTGCTTTCTCATTCCCGATGTAACCACATAGACATAACCCCATTTGGAAAAAAAGTGTCAGCAAAAATTAACTCGAGTCACAATGAGAGACCGTGTCCAAAGCGGAAGCAGATTATGCCGTTCCGTAAGGCTGAGAGCAATATGAAAAATAAAAGTCTTTTGTGCAATCAAGTTGGCTGATCTGTCTCCACCATTACAGCACCGGATGGTTAAGTTAAATGCTTCAGCGATCGGGCTAATTGTTCGTACGCCGCGATAGGAATTAGGAAAAGTTCCTTCAGACTGGGGTGACCGATGAACCGGTATTGCGAAACGAAAGCGGCCAGTAGGGGTTTAGCTTGGAGATCCAGTCCTAGGACGACTCTGGCAGTTATTCATCGAAAACGCTTATTGGCAGGTATCATCTCATCCTTTGACGTAGTCTCTATCCCCTTTGAGATATGAGAGAAGTGTGAACTGATCAATCCTGAATGCAGAATGAAAAGTATTGTAATGTAGTGCGGGTGGATACATGAGCGCACTCTCAGACGCCATTGTGCACTCACCATCGCAAACGAGAGAGCTAGACTCAGTAACTTACCTAGTAAAACCAATTAAATTATATAGTAACCGAAATCGGATCAAACTCAGAGTGCGAGAGCAGTTGCGTTAGGATGGCAGCAAAAAAGCCATGATGAGTCATGCGACTTATCAGTTTTTTGCTGGTGAGGCTTCTTCATTGTTGGCCGCCAGTCATTATTTGGCTACATGCATGAGCCATAGTCCGGAATCTTGAACGTCTTCATGAGACGGCAATCTCAGTGAAGTGTAACCTCGCTCCAACTCTGTGGAATAAGTCGGGAACGCCATAGTATGTGGTTCCAAACATAAACCAATAAACAAAGCCGCAGGTAACCCCAAACATTAGGCTTAAACATTTAACAGTCACTCTAAATTTGACCCTTACTATAATCGTCAAACATTAACTGTAAACCTTAACATAACCCTAGCACAAAGCCTAGCACATAAATAACCCAAAACCCAATACTAACCCATAGGCCTTACCATAACTCTAACCCCAAACTGACCCCTTGCTTTAGCCCTCAAACCTCAACGTAACTTCTTTACCACAATTTCAACCCTAACCTTAATCCTGATCTTCATCTTGACCTTAACCCATTACCGCAACCATTGAGGTTAGACAAGCATTGGCTTTAGTTTTATTAGAAGGATAATTCTAGTGCTCAAGGAATGGGAAAGTTTTAGCGTTAATATTGTTATGCTCCCGTTACAGTATAAGGCCTTTCGCAATCTGATACTGGCAAAACGCAACAAAGGATAACTTCATAAAATGGGCTGGCATGTTTTATGTACAACGACTATGTGGGGCCACATACGGCACCATCACCGATTAATCTACACGAGGCTCGCGCAAATCTGCTGTAGAGGACCATTTCAGCGAAAGGGAGGGAAACGCAATTATTTCTGCATTCCCTTTCGCGTACAGACAGGCATAATGCCCTTTGGCAAAGAAAGCACCAACAAAAAACAAATAGTCTCGCAGGGAATAATTATGCCCAATGATGGTGCGGGCTGTGTCATCCCACAAGAAGATTTCAGAAACAAAAGTTTTTTTGCGAAGGCATGTTGGCTGAAATTACATGTCATCAAGGGGCATGATAAAGGCCTCCAAAATACTGTCGGCGCATAGGAATGTGACCTTATCCTGTTTCTGTAAAATAAAACATACCCTGTTACACAACGAAGCTGATGTTTTAGGACCAATCAAATGTCATGGGCGTCAACGAAGCGCAAAGTTGGTTTCTGTATTTCAAATCATCGCTGCTGTCAGAAAGGCAGTGGAACCACTCAAAGATGGAAAGGAACTACCCACGTGAATCCATAATTACAAACCACAAAATTCACTTCAGGCAATGTGGAACTCATATGCGATTCATAGTTTGTAAAAATTGTTTTAGCATTGAATACTAAAGTAAAGTGTTTCAAACAATTAGGCTTTCAGAATTTTGGTTTGTGTACCACGATCGAAATAATTAAAAGTTCCTCGAAACGGAAATGACCGTTCAGTCGTTATTGAAGAACAGCGGCTGACAGTTTCAGTTTATTTTGGTGTTCCTGCCAGAGGGCGCCCCAGTCACTCGTCGAAAATGCCTCCTGACAATGATTATTTTAGCCTTGACCATAATTTCTATTTTTTGGAGGAGAGTGAACCGACGAATTCTGAATGTAGGACGAAGTGATGCATGCCTTTTGCTTAGGACGATCAGTAATCAAAAATTGTTAAAAACAGGCTGGAATTAAAATATAGTGCGAATGTGCCGATGAACTCTCTACCTGGTGCCGTTGCACACTCACCATCGTAGTCGGAAGAGCTGAACTCAGGAGTTCACCTGGTAAGAAATTGAATTAAATGCGCATTGGACTAGGAATCAAACTTAGAGTGTACAAGCGACCGAATGGGCGCTGTTAGGACGAGACGCCCCAACCGGCCTGCCCACACATCACCCTAATAATCCGCACACACGCCGTACGCGCGCTGATGATGCCACGCCAGCCCCTACCAGCATTGGAAGTTTATCCCACCTGCTCAGCTCTACCTGATTGGTCAGGTTCCAGTCCTGCTTTGACATTCTCGTATGTTCCTTTTGTCGCCTGATATATGCTCGAGGGGTGTTGAGCTGTCAAGTTAGGAGGAAACTGTTCAGATGTGGGAGTGGGCATCATATGCCTACTACAGGCCGTGGCTGCTTCGTATGGACCTTAAATGCAACCCAAACTTCGTCTGTGGATTCCCCGCCATACACCGGTAACTGCCCTGACCGGTGAACTAAACCAGATGAGGATATCTGGTGTTCTCTATCCCCACACCCGATAATTCTCTTCCCCAACCCTCCTCCCTTTCAATTCAAAAGAGGGAACGTGAAAATCCCGTAGGTGACCCAAGCTAACTCGGGTCGCTCTCCGCCAAACAAATCCGTGACTCATCATGGAGTTCGGCAGCCTTCCTTGATGTCTAAGCAGCCTTATTTAGGGTAGTACAGCTTACCATCTTGTAGGGGAGAGGCTAGAAAAGGTTCCCTAAACAAAAATTCGGAACACGCCATGTGCTATTATACCGTAGGTCGTAGATGCAAAACCTTGCGGTCGAAAACTACGACGAACGACAACCATTCTCGTCCCTCTCCCCTCGGCCCAGGCTCACAGGCTGATAGGGTGACTCTGTCCACTCTGTCAGCTCGGAATGTTCGCTCCCCCTAGATAATCTGAGAAGCAACGGACCGGAACGGAGAACGACGCTAGTCGATCGAGAACTGGCGCGCTACAAGGTGGACATCGCTGTTCACAGCGAGACCCGGTTCCCCCAACAAGGCCAGCTGGAGGAGGTGGATGCCGGCTACACCTTCTTCTGGAATGGTCACCTTAGAGCAGAGCGACGAGACGCGGGTGTTGCCTTTGCCACCCGGAAAGAAATCGTGGACGACTGCCCTGTCTGCCAGAGAACGCCAACGACCGCCTAACGAGCCTGCGCTTGTCTCATCTAGTAGTCAAATTCACCACCATTGTCAGTGCCTACGCCACGCCCACCCCCAATGGCCAGCACTGAGGATGCGAAGACGAAGTTTTACAAAGACGTGCACGCCCTCCTGGCGACTGTTCCGTACTCGAACAAACTGACTGTTCGTGATGACTTCAGTGTCCGCGTCAGGACAGACTGCGCTGTCCGGAGGGAAGTGGTGAACCTCCACGGAATCGGCGGCTGCAAAGACGACAGCCTCCTTCTCCTGCAAACCTGCACGGAACACCGCCTCCTCCTGACCAAGACCTTCTGCATTCCGATGCACAAGAAATCGACCTGGATAGACCTACGATAGCGGCGCTGACAGCTGCTGGACGATGTCCTTGCCAGGAGGTGGGACCAGCAGGACATGCTGGTGACCAGCGCGATCTGCGACGCCGATGGATGGATGGATCACCGTCTTGCCATCTCCAAAACGAGTCTTCGACTCCAACTTCACAGGAGACCGTAAGATAAGCCACCATAAACAAGCTCGACACGGTGACGTTGAGTGTGTCCACGCACTACATAGGTTTCAGCAACCAGTTAGTCCAGCGCCAGGCTGAGCTGCAGGCTCCGGACGACAACGCCACGATGGAGACAATGTGGCGTCCACTGCGTAACGTAATTCATTCCAGCGCTATGAATCTTCTGGGTCGCGTACGCCGCCAGCGCCAGGAGTGGTTTGACGACGTCGCAGAAATAGCGGACCTACTCGTTGGGAAGAATGGACTGCACAACTCCTCCGTCAACAACGCGTCCTCTCTGAGATGTCGCTACCTGGTGCGGCAATAGCTGTGGGAGACGCAAACTAAACGGATGGGTCGCAAGGCCGATAAAATCCCAGGATATACGGACCACGATGATATGAAGAATTTCCTCACGTCAATTGAGACGATCTACGACTCACAACCAAAACAACTGCGTCATTGTTAAACGTCGACAAAACAACATTTCTCAACGGGAAATTGGAAAGTCTGAAGAGCTGGACCAGATATTTCAGAAAGGTCCTCAATCGGCCGTCCACAACCCCCGTCGTCGCCATCAACAGACTCTCTGCCTTCAGCCAAACACTGGCCGGGATATTGCGCCTTCCCTTCCGCTAGACGTCCAAAGCACGAAAATCCGATCCAATTCCGACTGCAGTCTACATGCGCGGCAGCCCCCAGCTTATGAGCAAATTGACTTCGCCGTTCAATAAAGTACAACGATAAAGACAGGTTCCTTAAGACTTCAAAGACGCGATCATAGCCCACATATACAAGCAGAAGGTAGCCGATAATTCCGTGACTGGAACCCGCTCTTATACAGTTGTACTGGCCTGAGAAGAATTTATCGAAAGCAATGTACGCTCACCAACTTGTTTTCTGAACTCTGTGAAAATCAGAGAGACATCTCAAAAATCAACATATCAAGCGGACTCTTCGCTAGCGTTCTCCTCAACCATTTGAACACACACCTAATTTAGGGACTTTTCCCGGAAAACTAGTGTGGATTTCGCAGGAGCCGCCGAGCCGTCAACGTGATAATCGCAGTCCACCAACCACAGGGGTAGTATCGAAAGATAGGGACCGACTTCCTCACAATTTTGGCGATGTAGCGAAAAACTACGGCACTGTGAACCGCGATGGACTCGGAAAATAATGTTAAATTTAAATGTCCGCGCATTTCACACGAATAGTGTGCACTCTTAACGAGGGGGTAATGGCTAGCGTCACGGACAACGGAGAATCCCTGTAGCGTTCGCAATGACCAATGCAGTAAAGCAGCACCACCTACTCGCTTCACCCCATTCAGTCTCATGCTCTCCGCCATGCAGATGGACGACCAGAGTGAGGAGTGGTTGAGGATCGACATCGACTGCCGAACCGATGCAAAACTGCTCAATACTAGTCGGCTTAAGGCGTCCTCGATGGCATTCAAGCCCAACGTCCACGGATGGCCGTCTTAAATATCACAAAGGAAGAGAAAATGCAGTGGAGTGTTGACCTCTTTGCTTCCGGTTGCTTTAACTCCGGACTGATCGTGAACACGTAGGAGGTGGTGGTCAAAAACCAGTCGGTGTCCAAAGCGGAGTATGATGGACTGAACATGCATCAATTAAATGTTTCACACACCTCAGAAGTACAATTTCAAGGAACGTCAAGACCGACAACCAAATGCCTCACCTGGTCTTCAAAGTCCGCCAGCCCTTCAACTGGCTGTTGGACACAGTCTGGAACCACACCAGATTTCAGCTCTGCACAAAACTCTCGATGTACTAGGTGGTAGTCCTGAAGACGCGGCTCTAAAGCGCAAGGACGTGAACAGTCTACGTCAAACAAGCCACACAACTCAATCGTTTCCATCACAGTTGTGTCTGGAGATTACTGAAACTGAGACGGCAAAGCAGATTCCCCTTCACGGAAGTCCTGGAACGGACTGGAGCCCTCGGCGTGCACGCCACGTTGAGGCAAATCCAGCTACCATGAAATGACTACGTCGTGATGATGGACGACGAGTGTCAACCCGAGCGAATCTTCTCCGGCAAAGCCGAAATTGGTGTTCGTCAACATGAAGGGCAGAACGAAAATTACAAGGGCTCCCTGAAAATGTATCTCCCGAATTTACACACAAACCTGGAGACCTCGGAGGACCTCGCTCACGATCGACCCGCATGAAGAAAAGCAGTGAATACAGAAGCAAACCGGATTGCCGCTGCAAAAGAGTGGTTCGCAGTTCTCAAACGTCTCCTACCCACAATGCCAAACCAAACATCTTACAACAAGCCCTACACAGCCAACGAAAATTCCGAATACTGGTCAGCCTCTTCAGACATCTCCGAATAGAATGCAACATCAACCCGATTACTCCTCCTGCTTCATCACAAACACCGCAGTTATTCCTGTGCCAATCTCCACGACAGCAACCACCACCACCACCACTGGCGATTACATCTTTGTCTCGCTGCTGCCGACGTCTTAAACCAGCTTCGTGGTCGACTTAGGTAAAACTCTGCTTCTGAAGAGGGTGTCTGAACGTGTCCGCGAACAGAGAGCGATACGTGATGCAGCGTTGGAGAACAAATTTAGAAAGCTTCCCAATCCAGCGTCGCCCAAAAACGACAAACTGGTGCACAACCTGTCGTCAAAGGAGCTGACGAAAGAGCAAATGCAGGTGTTACGGCACGAAGCTTCATTGAGCACAGCTGATGCCAAACCTGTTAATGTGGTCGCAGCGGTGGAATCAGTCCTCAGTCAGACAGAAGCGATGGACGAGGCCAAGAACCTTATCCGGCACCAAGTATCGTCTCTCCTTATGGCTCACAGGCCGCGCGAAGTGCTTTCCAATGTCGAACGTACTACCCTTAAGGGACTCAAGGCCGATAAAGAACTTGTTATCGTGCCTGCGGACAAGGGGCGTTCCACGGTTGTTTTCGACAGGACCGACCACCTTCAGAAGGCCAAACGTTTACTGGAGGACCAACAGTCCTATGTCTTTTGTGCAACCAACCCGGTAAAAACACTGACACGAGGAATCAATGCGACGCTGTTGGCATTGGAAAACTCGAGAGCAATATCACCGACTGACCGACACATGGCGGGAGCCCAGGACACGGCCTTGGCCCGCCTCTCTGGACTTCTTAAGGTGCACAAAGTGGGTGTACCCTCCGGCCCATCGTTTCACTCAAAGGTACTCCAACTTACGGACTGGCAGGGTGGTTGTTTCGGCGTCTCAAATTTCTGACGCAAACTCAGACACTACAGTCAGTTCGTCAACAGAAGTCTTGGAGAAACTCAAGCGACGTCATGTAATCCTTTGATGTCACGTCCCTTTTTACTTCTATCCCACGGGACCTGGCAGTCGAGACCATGGAACTACTCCTACGAGAGAAATACGATAAACGGAGAATCACCTTGGACACGCCCAAATCATCCAACTTCTGCAATTTTGTCTCAAGACGTACTTTACATTCGACGGAACAGTCTACGAGCAGGTGAAGGGCACGCCAATGGGTTCGCCGATTTCGGGACTCATAGCCGAGGCGGTCCTACAGCAGTTGGAGTCGCTGGTTTTCCGACATCACAGACCGAAATTCTGGGCTCGGTATAAGGACGATACTTTCGTCATCATCGAACGGGATCGGGTGATGGAATTCAAAGAACATCTCAACGCCATCTTCTCGGACATCCAATTTACGATGGAGGAAGAGGAGAACAACCAGCTGGCCTTTCTTGATGTCCTCGTCTGCCGCAAGGATTGTAGTGGCCTAAAAACCAAAGTATTCAGGAAGGCGACAAACACGACGCAAGTACTGATCTGCAACAGCAACCACCCAATCAGTTACAAACGCAGTTGCATAAGGACACTATCCCAGCGTGTGGAGACACACTGCAGTGAACCGGAAGACAAGGTTGCTGAATTACAATAACTTCGATGGGTATTCAAAGCCAATGGATACCCGCGCAACTTCATCAACCGGTGCCTGCACAGAAGGGACGAGAGACGAAGTCCAACCGGCCCCAAATTTTGGCGAGCTCTCCCGTACGTGAAGATGGACCCAGAAGCCGTCAGGCGCCTTCTCACACCCTTTGGAATTGGAGTAGCACACAGACCGGAGGCAACCATAAGGCGCCAGATCATGAGGCCGAAAGACGCATTACCACGACAAGAAACATCTGGAGTCGTTTCCCGTGTTTGATGCAGCTGTGGGCAAAGCAACTATGTCGGGGAAACCGAAAGACTACTACGAACGCGAATGGCCGAGCACGCAGCAACGGTGAGGAGGAAAGACGCCAGTTCCCAAGTCGCGGCTGTCTCGACGGGACTCAACCACGCATTCAAGCTTGACGTAGCAGAAATTCTTGCTAGATGTGACAACCGCGTGAGCCGCGATCTGCTGGAGTCATGGTTTTCCGGTCCTCAGTCAATCAACAAGCGCAATGACCTCCCCGCTCCATATTCGGCGCTGAGACTCTATCTAAGCCAAATAGCTGCCGCAAAGACTGCGCGCGGATGACCACTGGTCCTGGTGTCAGTATCGGCGAGCCAAATTGCCCAAGAGCCCATACGGATGACGAAATCCGGTCGTCAGCAACTCAACTGCGTGCGAATCGACAAACTTGACCGGCACACAAACGCATAGCAATTGCACGGCAACTGCACGATTCAACACCTGGCCAGTCGAGCCGTAATGCACCCGGGAGCTGCCAGCTTCGATAGGCATGTAGCGACATCTTATAAATACTGCAACACCTGGGCAATTTACCACTCTTATCTGGCGCTGGCTCTCGTGATGGATTCGAGTGAGAACCCGAAACGTCAGGCTAATAAAGCTCTTTTTCCACCGATCAGGTCTCTTTCTTCGCGACTACTTCCTGAAACTCGTCCGTTCGCTTCTATTACCATCTTCAGCATCAAACCTGGCAGAACTCACGCGACGAGTGTGGCGATAACCACCTCTTCCACTCCCACTACCGGTGAGTACACTCCCGACGTCACGTCAACCGCAACACACCACTGCCGTCCTTATCATCAGTAATGATGAAACGATCCCAATTCGCCTTAATCGCGATCTCATCCCACATTAAGCATCGGCCAGATCGGACACTTGCGAATCCAACACACAGAGACTGGCGAACCAGTGCCTGGAGCACCCAACATATTCCCATCGGCCTCGTCGACCTTGTTCGGGCTACCACCGTATGTTCCGTCACCTCATGGGCCTACTCGGCCAAATGAGCATTCATAAAATCCCGCGGCAAAACACCGCCGGTGAAACCACACCTCTTCTCATAAGTGTGCACACCCCAAACGGACCGCTCACACATCATCTATCACTGGTACGCATCAACACCTCCCTACTATCTGGAAAGCAGGATATCCGACTCCCTCTCTGCGATGCCTCCAGGCGTCCAGAAAACCACCAACAGAATCTTGACAATGTCGTGATGGGCTTTCCGTTTGTTTCTGCCTGTTTGAGAAGCACTTTTCTCGAAATCGAGCAAGGAAGACTACTGCCCAGCAAGCCAACCCTCAGAATCAAGGCTACGCAAGAGGAATACTGGGAGTCCCAGACGTCACTCGATCCACTCCGTTTCAAAGTCTCACTCCACTCTGTGCGCGTTAAAAGCCAAATTTGAGGTAGGGAGAAAACACCTTTTTATTATTATCAGTGGCACATCAGTATGTATTCAGTTAACTGCAGCCTCAGACATTATCTTAAACTCTTAGCGTTCTTAACACATGATTGGACGGCCTCCGATGACCCAATCGAACAAAAAGCGCTGAATATTTCTGGAGGAATTCGCTGGCTCACGGGTGAACTCGAATATGACGTTTCCTTTGATAATATTCAACTCAGTAGAACATGCCACTTCACGAACTGTCCCAACCTTAGTTCACTTAGTCCCAACTACATCGAGAAATGCAGCCTGCTCATTCATGTTTGGGATGGTTTGCGGTTATCATGACGGAGTACCGTCATAACATATCAGCTGACTGCGAAGCCGACAGCCACTTTACAGAAGAAAGTCGTCTCCGTTTTTCCGAACGGTCTTGACTATTTCACCAAAGTGGAAGTAAGTATCTGTTGACAGTCAACTGTAAAGCCTGTCTTCCGAGCGAAACGACCAGTGTCTTGCCTTGCGCTACCAGTGGTCGACCAAATACTTGGGCGTCTTCAACAATACGGTGTTTCCCAGCCAGTATATCACACAGCATGGACCGCGCCAAGTGTTGTGGTCAATGAAGCCATCGGCAAAGTTCCTGTCTGTGCTGATTTCACCGCTGATCCTACTGCTGTTCAGGACACGCACCAGTACCGTCTACCAGCACCGGAGATTGTTTGCTAGGTCGAATGGTGGAACTTGTTTCGCCAAATTGGATCGATCTAATGCATATCTCAAAATCGAGATGGCCAAAGAGTCATGGGAACGGTTAACGATCGTGGTTGGTTGTTCCAGGTCACTCGCTTGACATTTAATGTTAAGACTGCTCCCGCCACTTTCCAGCAAATCATGAACACCGTGCTGAGGGGCACCGAGGAAACCGCCAACCATCTGGTCGATATTTCATTGGTTCGAAACCAGATGAATTATTGCAACGCCCGCGCAATGAACTGGTTTCGGCCTTCATCCAGACAAGGGCAGTTTTTTCATGTCTTCCGTGAAGCACGCCGGATTCATAATCGACCAAGACGGTCTTCGTCCAGGCCCAGCTAAAGCTGATGCCATCAGGCAGACACCTCAACCAAAGGACGCAAATTCCAGGACTCACTGCCGCTCCTTCCTTCCTGAAATGCACCGCCTCGTCATCCGATGAATGGGCTACTTAAGAAAAATGTCAGACAAAACGGGTGCGAGAATGTCAACAGCTCTTTGGGGACATGAAAGCCATACTGTACTCTGACTTGCTGTTCATTCACTTCAACCTCGGCCTGAAAATTGATTTTGCATCAGACGCCTGAAATCATGGAATCGGCGCCGTAATTTTACACGTCTTTCCCGATAACATAGAAAAGGCTATTTGTCATGCCGCAAGGTTGCTATCGTCTGCGGAACGCTGCCCACTGGTCATATTGTTGGCCACATATACAATTATTACTAGAAGTAGTGGAACAAAGACTCCCAGGTTGTTTGGTTTGCTTTAAGAAAACAGCAGTCTGTGCCAATTTTGCTCACAATTCTCAACAAAATTACAGGATTTTCACATATAATGCGTGTAATTTACGCAGTTTTCAAAAGTCCTTGGTTTCCTTTCGAGAAAAAGTAGACGTTTACTGAAAAGTAATTCAAAGCTTTGTGATGATTGCGTGAAGGTAAAACTCTGTAAGTTATATTTTCCCTAAATATTTGATATTTTACATCCCGAACTTCAGGACAGATCAGCCCATTAAAAATCTGTTGTCTTATCTTAAAAAGGGGGAAAGTATTCCGTCACAGGGCCCAGGCGGTGACATTTTGACTCATAAACGACGTAATAATCAGTTTTGTGGAAGTTATAGCATGCATGACTTTAACAGAAGGGACCTATCTTTGGCATAAAATATGTGGGCAATTTAATTAGTTGAGTTTTCTTGGGCCTGTAAAAGGCGCCCGAAGCAGTCCACTGTCATATAATTTAAGAAGGCAGGAAGGATTTCCCGAAATTGACCTAGACACTACTGAGTTCCTCAATTAAACTTGCAGCTTGTAGCACCGCGTGCAATACGCTAATGGTTACCAGGCTGCACCACGATTTAGCAAGCATTTCAAACTACCTCACCCAATTAAGTAGCATTGAAAACAAGTTGTTTTCACTAGTGTCCGCACAAGCCCTTTACCTAAAGTCTATTTCATTCGCCGCAATTTGGACGTTCTTGGCATTCATGTGCGAATGCATAAAATACGCTATTGGCCAAAACTGATCCTCACCCTATATACATGCATGATAGTTCCTGGATTATGAAGTTCGATGACATCCAGAACAGCCTCCTGTTTTGTTCACTTGACCCAGCATACGTCGGCCAGGAGAGTCAGACGCTAGGCAGACCGAGTATGTTCGTTCGGCGGACACCAGCAACATCAACCCAGAAGAGAACTGGTTGCATGCGTATAAACTGGACTACAGATGGGGACTCCCGGCCACCACAACGGACTGTGAGGCAGATTGCCCGGGGGACAAAACGGGGTCAACTTGTCTCAAACAGGCTGCGTAGAGTCCATGAATACTACCGTACATAAAGGGTGTAATGGCACGCCTAGACATGCGAGTTGCCTGAGTCACGGACAGGGCAGAAGGAAGCATGTCAACGCCTCAAAACCAAGTTCCGTGGCCCACACGTATCACCGTCATGGTGAAACAGGGTGAAGACTGCCCAAACACTTGAAGTTGACTTTTGTGCAACACCCCCTCCGGCAACAACCTGCATTCACCTGTGGAAATGTGGGAGGCGTGCGGGATTGCATTAGCATCCTCTGTGTCGGATAACCAGATGAAAAGCAATTACCATCGCTATGAGTCTAGAGAGTGGTAGTTAGTCACTGTAGTTCCACTGAGGGCTCATCAGGACGCCCGAAGTCTTGCCTCCGTGTACTTTTATCGGTTATCACCAGCGCTCGCATAGCCGGCTCATGAACCCATGGCGGAATGAACTAGTGCTGCGTTTGACGTCGAAATCTGCAAGAACCGCTTTCTACCATGAATTCCACCCTAGACCTTCGGTTCCGGCATCGCCTACCGATCTGAATCGACCGCTTGTACAACGAATACCAACAAGCAAGAGAGGCAGTTCAATCAGCCGTATCCGAGTGCAAGATCGAGGTGCCACAGCCTTTCTGATTATCGGGTATTAAGTCAAACTTCACAAGCCACTGGCTCGTCCTCTCAGTTGTGGGGGATCTACGTCGAGGCTCCAAGCCGAAACGAGACACTTCCCGTACCGAAACTAGA